CATGGTCTAGCACATGCACAGGTATATCCTAAGCCCAATTATGTAATATTCTTGAAATATATAACTATAAAAATGTAGAATGGGGCTGGAGAGATGGCTCAGCAGTTAAGAACACTGACTGTTCTTGCAGAAGCTTGGGTTCAAATCTCAGCACCCACATGGCAGCTAACAACTGCCTGTTCCAGGGGATCCGACAGCCTCTTCTGTCCCCCAAGGGCACTGCACAACTTGGGTGCACTTACCTACATGCAGGCAATACATGCATACACATAAAATAAAATTTAAAAAAATTGTTTTTTTTTGAGACAGGGTCGCCCTGTAGCCCCAGCTATCCTGGAACTCACTATGTAGACCAGGCCGGCCTTGAACTTTTAAAAAGTTTTTAAAAAAGCCAGGCATGGTGGTGCATGCCTTTAATCCCAGCACTCAGGAGGCAGAGGCAGGTGGATCTCTGCGAGTTCAAGGCCAGCCTGGTCTACATAGTGAGTTCCAGGCCAGCTGGGGCTACAGGGAGACCCTGTCTCAAAAAGACCAAAAAAAAAAAAAAAAAAAAAAAAAAAAAAAAGTAAAAAAAAATGTGGAACAGAAGCTGGATGTGGTGGTACATGCCTTTAATCCCAACACTTGAGAGGAAGAAGTGCTGAAGTGACATGCTGAGGATCTGAAGTTGAGATCAAGGAGACTCCACAGAACCAGAGGATTCCAGGCTATGCTGCACAGAGTACTTTTAACAGCATCCTGAGAAACTTTTATTAGGAGAGCTCAGTGTACAGAGTTTACACACGAATAATGCTTAAACAATACAAAACATACACTACGGTCAGGAGACAGCTTAACTTGTTAAAGGCAAAGAAGACTTGCTCAAGGCTAAAAGTCTACATCAGTCTTCCTTAGTACGAGTTTTGAAGCATACTTGAACAGGGTGAGTAGGGGTAGCTATCAGCCTAATCCCAGTGGAAACAGACACAGGTGTTCCTTCCCTTGGGTCCCTGCATCAGCAGAGCCTAAAGAAGTCTGTTAAACTTTATGAGTGGAATGCCCATGTCCTTAAGGGACAAGGGATATGACTATGTGTCCCCCTTTTTCTATGAACTGATTTAGAGCTACATAGGCTTCAAATCTCATAAGGTGGGATATACAGTTTAAAATAATTTGCAGCCAAAAATAAAATAAAATAAATATTAAAAAACCGGGCATGGTGGTGCACGCCTTTAATCCCAGCACTTGGGAGGCAGAGGCAGGTGGATCTTAGTGAGTTCGAGGCCAGTCTGGTCTATATAGTGAGTTCCAGGACACCTGGGGCTACAGGGACACCCTGTCTCAAAAAAAAAAAAAAAGACAAAAATAAAATAAAATACTTTGTAGCCAACATGGGATGATGACTAATATAATAAGGCAAATGCCATAACTTGTCCCAGGAATCAGAGGAGCCATAAACATTCAGACCACATCCAGATTTTGTTTTTATGAATTTTATCAATTTCTTGTTTGATTTGGTCTGTTGTTGAATAACATTGGAATTATCAGTGATATTAAAACAACACATTCGGCCGGGCGTGGTGCCACACGCCTTTAGTCCCAGCACTTGGGAGGTAGAGGCAGGCAGATCTTTGTGAGTTTGAGGTCAGCCTGGTCTACATAGTTCCAGGACAGCTGGGGCTACAGGGAGAACCTGTCTCAAAAAGACAAAAAAAAAAAAAAAGTGAGCAAGGAGATATTATGTTCAATAGAACAACTTAAAGGTGGTGAAGACACAATACAACCTACAAACATTGCTGCTGAACAGCAAAGGAGACTGGTAATGTCTGCTCTGCATGATATACAATCTGATGTTGACTCGTGACATTTTCTCCAGTAACACCGACATAACTCATTACATTTTATGGACAAACCCATGAGATTATTAGCTAATAGTTGATGCCCTGAGTTTTCTTCTTGCACATAGAACATACTCTTGTTCATGGTATCTATTACTAACTGAACCCAGAAATTTCAATTATCCATGGATTCCCAAGGAACCCATAGAGAGGCTTACAGTTAGGGCAGTGCTAGAACAAACAGTAGTCTCAGATGCTCCCTTATATCTTGATCAGAAGCTGATTTTCTGTAAATTCCAAAATTTACATTATGTTGGACTAAGCAATGATATTTTTCCAGGATTCCTTCAAATAAAGCTGATTATTTCTTTCCTTTTTTTTTTCTTTTTTTTTGGTCTTTTTGAAGCAGGGTCTCCATGTAGCCCCAGCTGTCCTGGAACTCACTATGTAGACCAGGCTGGCCTTGAACTCACAGAGATCCGCCTGCCTCTGCCTCCCAAGTGGTGGGACTACAGGCGTGCACTACCACTTCCGGCATCTTTCCCATTTTTATACCATTTAACAGGACCTATCACAACCTCAGAGCATGAGAAGGTACGGTTTAGTATTAAAGGAAATCCCACAAGGGATTGGGCCACAAAAGACGTACACACACTCTGAATAGTGCGGATGTGAATTAAAGCAATCATCCTCAGAACATAGTCATGGGGGAACTTAATGTCCTGCATTTCTAATTTCTCAACCTCTTTGAGTTCTTTAGCTGGCCCCAGGTAGGAACAGCAGCTTGCTGGCTGCGAGGCTTGCTCTCATCCTTGACAGTGGTGATGCATATTTTCTTGAAGGAGGCCTCAAAGGGTTCTTCGAAGTCAAAGTTTCAATGCTTCATGTTGTGGCTTTTATCTTTGTGCTGGCACTGAGAGGTCCTCACTATGGTTTGTGGATACACAAGCATAACCCGACCCCATACTTTAATATGGCTTGCTTCCAAGCATTAGCAACTAGATCCTTCCACCAAATAGGCTTCGAGTTGAGAGCGGAGCGGCTTTAGCCCAGTGTTGTTGGGTGGCAGAGCACCCCTGCTCATCCAAATTTCATAATGGCATAAAGAGCCACAGCCAGTTGTTGTTTAGGGGTAACGTAAGTCCCTCTTTTTGTTTAGACAGATATAATTTAAGAGCAAGATTTTTTCGTTCTACAACAGCCTGGTCTTGAGGGTTGTATGGGATTCTGGTGCTGTGGGAAAAATGCCAGTCAGTCAAAAATCAAGCAGAGCAAGCACTAGCATAAGCAGGAACATTTCGGTTTTACTACGAGGAAGGCCCAGAATAGCAAAGTGGTTAACATATGCGCAATAACATGAGCTGTTTCCCCAGCTTGGGCAGTGGCCCAAGTAAATCCAGAGAATGCATCAACAGTAACAAGAGCATACAAGAGAGTACTGACTGCTCTTCCAGAAAACCTGGATTCACTTCCCAGCACTCACATGGTGGCTAACAACCATCCTAACTCCAGTTCCAGGGGATCCAACACCTTCTTCTGATCTCTTTGGGCACTGTACAACGTGGGTGCACTTACAGACACGCAAGCAATACACTCATACACATAAAAATAACAAAATAAAAAAAGTGAGGTCTGGAGAAATGGCTTGTATGGGTACCCAGCACCCATATGGTGGCTAATAATTGTCCTTAACTCCAGTTCCACAGGATCTGATACCCTCTTCTGGCCTCCTCAGGCATTGCATGCATGGGCACACATATTTGCAGGCAAAAACATGCATACACATAAAAATTAAAACAGCAACAATAAGAAATGGAGCTAGAGAGATGGCTCAGTGGTTAAGAGCCCTAACTGCCCTTGCAGAGGACCAGGGTTTCGGTTCCCAGGACCCACATGGTGACTAACAACTTTCAGAAACTACAGTTCCCAGGGGATCTGATACCTTCTCCTGGCCTTCACAGGCATTGCATGCACGTGGTACTCCTACATTTACGCACGTAAAATACATAAAAAATATTTTAATTTGGGCTGGAGAGATGGCTCAGCAGTTAAGAACACTGGTTGTTCTTGCAGAAGACCAGGGTTCGAATCCCAGCACCCACATGGCAGCTAACTGTAACTCCAGTTCCAGGGGATCTGACAGTCTCTTCTGTCCTCTGCAGGCATTGCAAAACACGGGTGCACTTACCTACATGCAGGCAATACATGCATACACATAAAAAAAATTATTTAATTTATTACTTATTTAATTTAATTTATTATTTAATTTTGAGTGTTTTGCCTGCATGTAGGTAAGTGCACCCATGCGTCCACGGACGTCAGAAGAGGGTGTCGGAGGTCAGAAGAGGGTGTCGGAACCCAGGAACTGAGTTAGCTACCATGTGGGTGCTGGGAATTGAACCCTGGTCCTCAGCCACAGCAGGAAGTGCTTTTAGCCGTTGAGCCGTCTCTGCAACCCCCAAATAAAAATTTAAAAATAAAAAAAGTAAAACAAAATGTGGTCAATAAACAACTCATAGCTGTGGGTATTAGATGGATTATATCTAAGAAGATTCTTAGAAGTACTTAATGGTAACTGTCATGAATATGTTATTAGGGAGCACCTAGGTGATGCATGGGGCTATGTTAAGTACTTCACGGTTTGAGAATAACCGCATGAGGAAGGTACGTATTATAATGCCATTTTAGATAAAAGGTTTTGAAAGAATAGGTAATTACGTCTCGGATTCCAAAACTACGATTCTGCCCCAGGAAAAGGTAGTGTCTTCCAAGATGTGTCGGACCAAAATAGTCCGAGTGCACGGGCCCGTGGTCGGACTACAAAGCCTCCGCCCACTCCCGACTGGCTCAGCCTACCTCCAACTCCCATTCGGCTTCAGCCTGGCCCAGGAAAAGTATTTACTGCCCTAAAGCCCGACCCAGATCCCCAGAAATGTGCTGCCTTTCCTTTTCTAACCCAGGCAGGAACTCGTCCGTGCCCGAGGTCGGCGCAAAACAGCCACTGAGTTCCCCGGAACCGAAGACTGGCAACAGTAGAGGACAATCAGCTCCGGAATCCTACTCCAGAGCCACCGCCTAAGCCCCACCTTCCAGCGGGAGGGCGAGCGCCGAGCTCACCGAACCCAGCCAATGGGGGATGCGGCGGCAGCGTGGCGGGAGGTTCGATTGACCTTGCCTGGCGGCTGTTAACGCGCGCTTTAGGAAGTGGAAGGTTGAGGGGACGCTTCCTGCTGCTGAACCCCGGTCTCTGCCTCTCTCTTCTGCCTTCCCTGATTCTCCGCCTCCCAACCTGGAGCTTTTCCTCCTCCTCTCGGGGCACGTCCCTCACCTCCCTCTGTTCAGGTCTTGCGGCGTCACTGCAGCCCTGGTAAACCCCCACCTCCCTCTTCCGCATTCAGGTGCCTCGTTCTCGTACTTTAACGACCCCTACTTCTTTTAACGTGGCCGGTGGTACCCCTCATGCTCTGCAGTTAGCCCCCAACCCTGCTGGATTATTCTGACTCCACTCTGCGCATTCTCCGACTTCACCGTCCACTCCCAACCTAGATTTATAGTCTGGAGTCTTCCGCTTTGAATCTCTTTCCTCGGGTAACTGGCGACATCCCCAATTTGGACCCAAGCTCCAGCCACTCGGAGAGTCACCTCCACCCATGCGGACTCTAAGTAGCCAATCTCAGTAATATAGGACTTCTCTACAGCAGGCTGATGGGTACTTGATATGCGTCTAGGCCCAGGATGGTAAGTGTGATTTAAGTAGTCCGCATAGCCTCAAGGCTGGTTCTAATGAGCTTGTGTTGTTAGATTTTAGCAGGTACTCACTTTCTCTTCTCCCCTTACAGCGGAGGAGCTTAGCTCCCAGCCAGTTGGCCGGGAAGAAACCTGAAGGCATATCGTCTGATGAAGACTGGCAGCCTGGGGCAGTCGTGAGTGTTCCAGGGGATAGGGGAAATGGGGATACAGGGCTGTTAGGACAGAAAAGAAGCCTGGGGTTTGTTTCTGGGGATCACACAGTTCCCTTCAGAAGTATTTTTTAAAATATTTTTTATGTGTATGAGTATATTGCCTGCATGTGTGTAAGTGCACCCACGTTGCACAATGCCCCCAGAGGTCAGAAGGCATTGGATCCCCTGGAACTGGAGTTAGGACCGTTGTTACCTGCATGTTGGGTGCTGGGAATCAAACTTGGGTCCTCTGCAAGAGCAGTCAGTGCTCTTAACTGCTGAGCCATCTTTCCAGCCCCTAGAAGTATTTTTCATACATTCAGTAAACTTATTTAAAAAATTTTTGAGACAGGATCTCACCAGGCAGCCCAGGCTGACCTAGAACTCACTATATGAGTCTCACTATGTAGTCCAGGCTATGTTCTGAAGTCCTGCCTCTCCCGTGTGCTGAGGCTATAGGCATGCACCACTACATTTGGCACTTAAGTAAAATTTTAATGGATGCTTACAATGTACAGACATTGAACAAGATTAACAGAGTTGTCCTCTAGGTAGCTTCACTAGAAACTAATATAGCCTGTGGGCTATATTGTAGGTGTGGGACAGGCATACCAAAACAAAGGAATAGGTTTTGTTGGTTCCTTGGGGAGTGGGGAGAGGAAAGGATCCACCACAACAACTAACAACTTTTATTTGGTCTTTGCTCTCTTCCCATGTCACAGAACAATAGAGTACTGTAGAGTGTTGTGGGCATACTTTAAGATGCTGACCTTAGATCCTAGATCAGCAGAGTAGTATCCTTTCAGTCCTTGCTCATACCCAAATACAGTATGATGTACTTTGAACTGAGCCCTGTACTCTGCTTCTTGCCTTGGAGGCTTGCTGGGGCTGGCTGTGGGCAGGACCTGTATATGTCAAATAGTTCAGTGCAGTATGTATATACTTGAAGGACAGAGGGAGAGAGCAGTTCAAGAAGTAAGCATGTGGGTCATCTGGTAAGGGTGCTTTCCGCCAAGACTGAAGATCTGAGTTTAATTCCTGGGACCTGTGTGGTGGATGGAGAGAGCTGACTCCCACAAGTTGACTTCTGATTTCATTCATGCACAAAAATAGTTTTGCTGGTGATGTAGCTCAGTTGGTAGAGTGCTTACCTAGAACGCACAGAGCCCTGTGTTTGATATCAGGTACCACAGAAAGTGGGTGTGGTGGTGCACCTCAGCTACATAGCGTGTTCAAGGCCAGCCTTGGGATACATGAGACCCTACCTCAAAAGAGAGTAAGGATTTTGCCACTAGAGCTTTGGAGGAAAGGATCAGTTAAGGAAGGACTAGAAGATACTTCTTTTGGTACGTGAGTCAAGGCATGCAAACAGAAGAGGGCTTGGTTTCAGGTGTGCCTTGTGGAATCACTGGTGCTTCAAGTAACTTGACAAACTTGTACAAGTGTGTTCTGATGCCTTGATGGCGTTCACCTTTTTCTTTTTTTTTTACTTTCTAAGTTTTATTTAATTGGGTAGAGTATACTTATGTTAGGGCACTTGAGGGGAGTTGGTTCTCCTTTCACCGTGTTGGCTCTAGAGATCAAGTCCTTTTGGCTTGGTAGCAAGTGTCCTTTACCCACTAAGCTTTCTTGCTGCCCCTTCCCCCCTTGAGACAAGGTCTCATTTATGTAGACCAGGCTGGCCTCTGGGTCTCAAGTAGCTCAGGTTGGCCTCTAATTTGCTATATAGCCAAGGATGGCCTTGCATTCCTGATCCTCCTGCCTCTACTGCCCAAATGTTAGGATTACAGGTGTGTGCTACCTTGTCCGGTTAGCACTGTTTTCTTTTTCCCAACACTGGCTCTCATGCATGCTAGGAAAGAAACCATATCACTGAGCTATATTCCTAGCTTGCCTCTCGGTAGCTGAGGCTCCAGGCACTCATCACCATTTGTGGCTCAATTAAGTACTTTATTTTATTTTTTAATATTTTATTATTTTTATTTTATGTGTACGAGTGTATTGCCTGTGTGTCTGTAAGTGTACCCGTGTTGTGCAATGCCCACAGAGATCAGAAGAGGCCATCGGATCCCCCGGAACTGGAGTTACAGACAGTTGTTAGCTGCCATGTGGGTGCTGGGATTCAAACCCGGTCTTCTGCAAGAACAGCTAGTGTTCTTAACCACTGAGCCATCTCTCCAGCCCCTCAATTAAGTACTTTAAATGCTAGTTGTCATTAGGGTGACTTTTGTGGTTGTCCAGGTGTTGCAATGTAGCTTTCCCATTTCTCTCCTAGACTCCTAAGAAACGGAAGTCCATTAGTGACACTGAGATCCAGCAGTGTTTCCTGTCTCCTTTTCGGAAACCTTTGACTCAGTTAATCAGTCGACCACCCTGCCTGGATAGCAGTCAACATGTAAGTCAGAACCTTCTTGGTTCTACATTTGCATGTGCCCAGTCCTTTTGCCTCAGTAGATTCTTTCCATCTTCTCCAGAATTACCAGCTTACCCACAACTGCTGTCATTTGGCAAGAGGGGTGTGCTTGACCTAGAGTCCTCCCTTGTTTCTACCTATGTGGGTTCCAGATTTGGGGTGCCTCAGATTTTCTAAGGAAATGAGTGTAGAGGAGAAGAAAGGCTGTGGCAGGGTGTTGGAACCAAGACCCTTATGGCACTGATCTGACTCTTGTTTAAGGCTTTTTTGTTGTTGGTTTTGCGTTTTTTGAAACAGGGTTTCATGTAGCCCAGGCTAGCCTTGAATCCCTGATCCTCCTGCTTCTACCTTCAGAATGCTGGAAGTATAGCTGTGTGCCCCCAGGCTCAACTGTTAATGTTTATAGAATATTAGAGTCCTGTAGCTTTCATGTGTTTCCTCTAGTAAAGTCAAATACTCTTGAGCCGGGCATGGTGGCGCAGACCTGTTGTCCCAGCACTTGGGAGTGAGAGGCAGGCTGATCTCTGTGAGTTCAAGGCCTGCCTGGTCTACATAGTGAGTTCCAGGCCAGCTGGGGCTGCAGGGAGACCCTGTCTCAAAAAGATCAAAAAAAAAAAAAAAAGTCAAATACTCTCCATAGCAGGGTCTGTGCATTATTTTGGTAGCTCCAAAGCTTTGTTTTTCTTTTTAAAAACCGTTTTATACTTATTTGTGTGTGTGTGTGTGTGTGTGTGTGTGTGTGTGTGTATGTATGTTTGTGTATTTGTATATGGGTACATATGCCATGTGTGTGTGGAGGCCAGAGGATAACTTCTGGGAGCTGATTCTTCATTTCACCATGTGGGTTCTGAGGATTGAACTCGGGTTACTAGATTTGGTGGCAAGTGCCTTCACCTACTGAACTATCTTGCTGACCCTCCAAAGCTTTTTTCATTAAGCTTTCAGAGAAAAGTTTGGAAGGAAAATGGGATATATAACCGAGTTTAGCCATTGTGCCTTAGCAAACATTTAAAACTAATTTTGTATAATACTTGAGAAATGCAAAATAATATGTAAGATAATTTATAAACCAAGCCAGGCAGAGTGTCACCTGCCTGAAGTCCCAACACTCAGGAAATGTAAACAAGAGGATCAGCCTTGTCTAT